CAATACTAGTAGGTCAACACACATAAACTAGATTTTCAAATTCAAAAGATCAAAACCAGTGGATGACCCGGTCATGTTTAAAACATATCCTGATTTCCTAGAGTATGTTTAGAAGATAGTTAGAAAATGATATCAAAATAAGCCATTCACATTATTGAAGAAAAAAAAGTTCCTTGATCATTTTCAGGATTAAAAAAAGAAGAAAATATGACATTACTTTTCATTAGGTCACCTGAGTCACTTGGGTGACCTATAGCTATCTTGTTTTTGTCCTTTGTGCATACTTAAAAAAGAAGTAAATATGACATTACTTTTCATTAGGTCACCTGAGTCACTTGGGTGACCTATAGCTATCTTGTTTTTGTCCATCGTACATATGACATAAACTTTTGAACATTTTTGTCTTCGGATGAATCAAATTATAACCTATTTTGATTTGTTGCACCTATGGGTTAAGGAGAACAAAAATTGTGAATTTCAAGGGGATGGGCCAAAACTATCAAAATTAATGCAATCTTCAAAAATCTTATTCTCTACTCCTGGACATAAAGCAGCCAAACTGTTGACGCCATGATTTTAATGAGCATTGAGTCCTCTACCATAATTGTGAAATTCATGGTCCCAGGGTCAAGAGTTCTAGTGTTAGGTTGAAGCTTAATTGATCATACAGTAAAAATGTATGAAGTCTTCCAAAATCTCCTCTCACCCTATAGAGTTTCAAACAAGTGCATGGTTATAATGAGCAAGTGCCTCTTCAAAATTAATGAAATTTATGGCTTCTTTGTAATTGGTTCTAGTGTTACGGCTCTATTGATCATATAGTGAAAATGAATGAATTCTTTCTTTAAAATTTTTCTACAACTGTAGATTTTTCAGACAAACTAAGTGCATGATTATGATGAGCAGGAGTGCCTTCTAAAATTGTGAAATTCATGGCCCAGGATCAGGGGTTCTGATGTTAGGGAGGGGCTCTATTGATCATTTAGTGAAAATACATTAATTCTTTAAAAAAATTCTTTTTCCCCCTTGTTTTTTAAGCAAACAAACTAAGTGCATGGTTATGATGATAGAGTACCTCTTCCAAAATTGTGAACTCCATGGCCCCAGGATCAGGGGTTCTGGTGTTAGGGTAGGGCTCAGTTGGTCATACAGTGAAAATACATTTATTCTTCAAAAGTATTCACTACCCGTTTAGATTTTGCAGGACAAACTAAGTGCATGGTTATGTTGAGCAGGATGCCTCTTCCAAAATTATGAAATTCATGGCCCTAAGTCGGGGTTCTAGTGTCAGGGAAGTGCTCAATTGACTGTATAGGGTTTATGCATTAATTCTTTGAAAAATCTTTTTCTCTGTTCCTGTGTATTTAACAAATTATTTGGTTGTGATGAGTGTGCCTGAAATTTATGACCCCAGGATCATTTAACAGGCAAACTAAGTACGTAGTTGTAATGAGCAAGGATATTTTTATCAAACATGTAACACTGTGCAACACATTCACAGGTTCTGGTGCTAAGGCAAGGCACCATCATCTAGGGAAATTTTACGCTACTCTGAGGAAGTTATTTCTCTATGATTATAATTAACCTATGATAATAAAAACTCGGTGATCGTTAAGGACCTTGGCCTCTTGTGAAACCATATTTCTCTTGGACATAATTATGTATTTGTGTACCAAATTTTATTGTCCCCACTTTTGCAAAAACAAGGGGACATTAAATCTTATTTATCTGTCTGTCTGTTCGTCACAAAAAAATTTAATCTTGGTCATAACTTTTAAATGAGAAAAGGTATCCTAGGGCAATCGTACTTCACAAGTACATTACCTGTGAAAAACCCTCTCTAAATGGACTATGATTTTTGACGCCTTGACCTTGAAGTTTGACGTATTTTTCAAAAATTTTAAAATTAGTGATTACATTTGATTGAGAAAAAAATTAGGGCTTCCATGTTTCAAGTGTACACTACCTGTGACAGGACCTTTTCAAATATACTATGGTTTTTGACCCCACTACCTTGACCTTGAAGTTTGACCTACTTTTCAGAAATGATAACATTTTTAATAACTTTTGAATGAGAGAAGATAGGGCGTTCATATTTGACATGTACATCACCTGTTACAAGGTCTTTCCGAATTGACAATGGTTATTGACCTTGTGACCTTGCCTTTGGAAGTGTGACTCGCAGTGCTTTTCAAAATTTTAAACATTGTTCATAACTATTGATGAGAGAAGACAGCTTTCATATTTCACTTGTAAATTACCTGTGACAAGACCTTTCTAAGTGTTATATTATTTTTGACCTCATAACCTTGAAATTGAAGTTTGACCAACTTTTCAAAAAAATTTAACATTCGTGAAAATTTTTGACGGAGAGAAGATACGGTGTTCACATTCGACAGTGCATTTACCTGTGACAAGCCCTTTCCAAATTTACTTTGATTTTTGACCCCGTGACTTTGACGTTTGACCTACTTTTCAAAAATATTAGTACGCGCGGGTGATAACTTTTGAATGAAAGAAGATGGGGCATTCATATTTGACATATTTATTGCCTGTTAAAGGCCTTGTCTTATGCACTATGGTTTTTGACCACGTGACCTTGAAGTTTAACCTACGGTATTTTTCAAAAATTTAAACATTGGTCATAACTTGAATGAAAAAAATAAGGCTTTCATATTTTACATCATTTTTGACCTAAAAATTGACATATTTATTTTTTAAACATTGGCCTTAGCTTTTGCTCTAAAAGAGACAGGACTTTCATTTATTTTATTTCATATGCCAGTGCTCAACCTTATAACATCAAAATTAGAGGGGGAGGGGGGCAATGAGCATCTTAAGGATAATTGACTACTCTAAGTACTATACTTAGAAAAAAGTGGAGGACCCCCCCCCCCCCCCCCTGCACATCCCCCCGAGTTCTAAAGGCCTGTGTTTGTATGCCAGTCATTACTGAAATCAAACCGAAACTGGACACGCCCATTTCTTTAGAAAACCGATCACGGTAGTCTAGTGGTAGGGCGCTCGCTTCGTTATCGGGAGACCATGGTTCGATTTACGTTCGCCGCGCCGCGTCAAACCTAAGACGTAAACATAGGTAATGACTGTTCCTTCGCCAAACGCCCTGTACTAGAAGTGAAAGTAACGTGTCTTTCGGATGAGACTTTAAAAACCGAGGTCCCGTGTAACCGTAGGCGTTTGCACGATAAAGAACCCTCACTGCTCAATGGCCCAGAGTGCCGAGTATAGGTATAAATATGAAGCCTTTCGCCGGCATACGGTGACGTCTCCATATGAGTGAAAAATTCTGGAATTGGACATTAAATTACACACAATCAATCGATCAATCATTTCTTTAGGAACGACAAAGCAATATTGCAATGTTTTAGAAACCCCAATCTCTGCGACTATTAATGCAACTTTTGCTGAAATGGGGATTTTTAGGAAGTAAGGAGAGAAAGTGAGACTCCCCCGATTCCGTAAAACTCACGTATTGCAGGGAATTATGTACTTACAATGGTGTACATGAAGTGGTAAAATTTTGCATTGGAATGGAAAGTCTTGAACTTTCTTTTCAACCTCTGGCTGTTATATAATGACACGGCCTTCTCTTCTTTCATTCCGATTTCGAATACCTGTAGAACAAGTACTCCATAAATACAACAGCCAATCAGATTGGCACGTGGCAGTCTAAATAAACCTGATAAACAAGTGTTCGAGCGATACACGTGTTGTGATAAATTTAATACACATAAGAAATACATGTTATGTACATATTTGTTGCAATACGTGAGTTTTACAGAAGAGAAGCAGAGAGTCCAAGTCTCGCGCCAAATTTCATAAAATCCCCATTTAAGCAAAATTAGTGTCGCTAGGAGAGAGTATGGTGTCCGAAAACATTGCGACGAATATTGCTTTCTCGTTTCTAAAGAAGTGGAGGTGTCATTGTGTAACAATCGACGTTCAACAACTGTATAAGAAATACCAAAACATTCAATTCAAACGAAAAATTTTTCCACTTCAGTTTCAAGATTATTGAAGTTATCACGTGTATCGATCGAACAGGTGTTTACCCGGTGTTAATCATGGTTGTTCTTTTTATAACCCAAAAAGCCAAGATCAATGATAAAATGAAGTATCAGTGAGGAAGCTGTCGTCCTATTATTGCAAAGAGAGGCCAGAACTCCAAACAAGTCTCATACAGGTTTTCTTTTTCTTCGAGAGGTCCAGTAATACATGTTGTTATCCCCGAAGGAGGGATTATCAATGGAAGCTTTTATATTAAAATTGTATGATGGAAAGTTAAGCAGGTTTTCTGTAAGAAAAGTCCAAATACCAATCTCAAGGGTATTTTTCTTATACCTGACAATGCTGCTGAAAATAAACATAGATATGTATAATAACTGTGTAAGAAAGGAACGTTTACAGAATTTAACCACCCTGTATTGGCTAAATCTCAGTCATTGCGACATATTTTTATTCCAAGAAATGAAAAGAAGATGTTACAATTCTAGACCTATCCCAGAGAGTCCATCAGTGTCTTTTGAGCTAACAACCCCCCCCCCCCAAAAAAAAAGAGTATGCCGAGGTGTTCTTGTAATTATGTGTACACAGGTAATACTAAGAGGGATTAAAAATATAAACTGCTCTTCGTCTTCTTCTTATCTTTTTTTGTGTGTTGACCTTTTGCATTATTTACTGAAAGCCCCTCATATAAGGACAATACTTCGAGAAGAAATGAAACTGGCAGAACCAAGAAATTTAATAGGTTATTAGATGAAGAGACGATTTGATATCATTTTAAAATCATTCATGAAACAATTTTGTCAAAATAATCACCAGGAATCAAAGAACCTGAAAAGTGATGTATCTGAAAGGATAATAGACACACACCCAATGGGCATTTTTTTTTATTTAATGAAGAAATTGAAATAGCACTTTTGTAAAAATTCTCAGAAAACAATATTTGCAAGACACAAAGGTACTCCAGACGCAAAAAAAAAAAAACATTTTGAAGGAAGAAAACATTCAAAGAAAAGTCACAAATAAAAAAAGTTTACAAATTTGTATAGATATTTTACAAAAGAAAGAATGTCTACAATAAATTTAAAATTTAGGCAACAAAACCTATCAAATATTGCACCAATGTCATGATAGTAGAATACGACAAATGATAACATATATCACATGTGATTGCAAAAAAAATCAACCTGTTTGACAAAATAATGGCATTTTTTCAATATTTGAAAAAAAGGCAAACAAGAGCGCATAGTACTATTGGGGCTTTAGAAAGAACGATTTTACAAACAACTGAAACTAAATTCAAAATAAAGATTACTTAAAAAGTTTTTACAAACTGTATGGTACTTTTTTTGGCTCTCTTTCTCTCCCCCCCCCCCTCTCTCTCTTTCAAAATATGTAAATAAAATGTGCAATGTCTGATAACATTGTAATTTGCAATACCCCTTGTACACCATACAACTAAAGAGAATTCCAAAGTTCGATATTTTTCCTCGATGGTGTAATTACTGGTATGGTGGCGGTTTCTGAAAGATATAATTTAAACAAGAGGCCCATGGGCCACATCGCTCACCTGAGCACATTGGCTAGACAAAAACACAAATCAGTTCAGTATTGAAAAAATTATGAGGGGGGGGGGGGGGCTTGAATTTTAAACTACCTGATGATGCTTCCATGTCAATATAACAAATGGCTTTGTTGTACTTGAGAAGATTTTGAACAATTTTTCCCATATATTCTTTTGTAAAAATTTGATCCCCCATTGTGGCTCCTCCCAATCCCAGGGGTCATCATTTGAACAAACTTGAATCTACACTACCTGAGGATGCTTCCACATCAAAATGACTAATCATGGCTTTGCAGTTCTTCAGAAGAAAATATTTTCCTACATATATTTCTATCTAAGACTTTGATCTTCATTTGTGGCCCCGCCCTACCCCCGGGGGTCATGATTTGAACAAAAAAAGAATCTACACTACCTGAGGATGCTTCCACATAAATATGATCAATCAGGACTTTGCTGTTCCTGGGAAGAAGATTTTTAAAATTTTTCCTATATATTTCTATGTAAAACTTTCCTCCACTGTGGCCCCGCCCTATCCCCGGGGGTCATGATTTGAATAAATTTGAATCTACACTACCTGAGGATGCTTCCATATAAATATGACACATGGTTTTGCTGTTCTTGAAAAGAAGATTTTTCCTATATATTTCTATGTAAAACTTTGATAGTCCATTGTGGCCTGGTCCTACCCCCAAGGGTCATGATATGAACAAATTTGAATCTACACTACCTGAGGATGCTTCCATATAAATATGACTCATCATGGCTTTGCTGTTCTTGAGAAGAAGATTTTTAAAGATTTTTCCTATATATTTCTATGTAAAACTTTGATCCTCCATTGTGGCCCCACCCTACCCCCAGGGTGTCATGATTTAAACAAACTTGAATCTATACTACCTGAGGATGCTTCCTTATAAATATGACTCATCATGGCTTTGCTGTTCTTGAGAAGAAGACTTTTAAAGATTTTTCCTATGCATTTCTACGCAAAACTTTGATCCTCCATTGTGGCCCCACCCTACCACCGGGGGTCATGATTTGAACAAACTTGAATCTACACTACGTGAGGATGCTTCCACATGAGTTTCATCTTTCCTGGCCCTGTGGTTCTTGAGAAGAAGATTTTTAAAAGATGCTATTAATTTTTCACTAACTCTTTATTATCTCCCCTTGAAAGAGGGCGTGGCCCTTCATTTGAACAAACTTGAATCCCCTTCACCTAAGAATACTTTGTGGCAAGTTTGGTTGAAATTGGCCCAGTGGTTCTTGAGAAGAAGTCGAAAATGTTAAAAGTTTACAGACAGACAGACGGACAGACAAACAGACGGACGCCGGACAAAAAGTGATCAGAAAAGCTCACTTGAACCATCGGCTCAGGTGAGCTAAAAATGTAAGTAAATTTTCAAAATAATTGCTTTTCCTGTTTAATTGAAATATAGTTAGCTGCATTAGCTTATGGGACTGTATTTAGTTACCTGTGAGTATTGGGGTGGGTACGCTGGGGCTGTGGGTGGGGGTTGTTGATAAGCACCGGCCGGTGGGTAAGCTGTTGTCGCGGTAGTTGCAGTGGAAGTTCCATAGGCTGGTTGAGCTACCCTAATGTACTGCAGACGGTTTCTGCGCCTGCGCAACCCAATGATGCAACTTACAATGAGCAGGAAAATGATAACCCAGATGAACCAGAACCCTAAAGACGTGAAGTTACGCAAATTAAAAATAATATATACAATAAATGTTGCAATACCGTATGTAAAGCAGCATATCTACACGTAGTCACGTATAAAATGTACATAGCAATAATTGATCGAGAAGAATTTCAATTACAACTGGTACACGTAACTAAATGTATGCACTAACTGTGACAATAATTAAGAAGTTGGTACACATAACTATTTGTAAACAATAAATGTAGCAATTATTAAGGAGAATTCCACAACCGGTACATGTAACTTCTGTATACAATGACTGTAGAAATAACTGACAAGTATATTTCACTTACAACTGTATGCGTTAAACTAACTGTACACAATAACTGTAGCAATAATTGAGGAGTTGGTACCCGTAACTTACTATATACAGTAACTGTAGCTATTATTGAGGAAAATTTTACTTACACCACACTTGGTAGACGTAGTAATGTGTGCAGCATTGTGTACTGCCACAGCAGTAATCATCACCAACTGAAAATACGACACTATTTTAATTAAAAGCAAATAGCACATTGTGTGTTTTAAAGCTTCTAATTTACTTATATGTAGGTACAAATAGATGAGTATGATAAGATTACTTACAACAGTAGTATCTGGTACCGAAACTGTTGTAACACACCTCACTCTAAAAAGTGTTGAGAAATAAATCATTATTGTGCTAAACCGGTAGTGAGTGAGCTTTTACAAACATGCGTATATTCTACAGTCGTGCTACTACGACGATTTTCCAAGTGTGCTTAGTTCTAATCATTTTCATTTTTCATGATTTTACTTACTGTTTCAAGACTGTCGTTATTTCGTTATTTTATTTTACTTTAGTGATTTCTATTCAATTCCAATTTTTTGTTCACTCAAAACCCTGATTACTGTTATATGAGGATCCGATTCAAGTATTAACACATGTGAACACAGACAATATACATGTATAGAAGTACAAAAAGATATTACGTACACATTCAGTTGTAAAAGGGTTCAGAAGTTTTAATTTAAATAAAGAAAGAACTAGAAGTGTCTGTCGAGTCTTCTGTTTTGTACGGAAGCGTATTAGGGCCGCAGCAGTATCTTTTATTAATTTGTTTAAACAAATTACTAATTTCGAGTAATTTGTTATAACAAATTACTAATTTGTTATAACAAATTAATAATTTTATATAACAAATTATCAATTTGATATAAAAAATTATAAATTTGTTACAACAAATTTAAATTTGTCATGACAGGTTACTAATTTGTTATAACAGATTAGTAATTTGTTATAACATATTAATAATTTGATATAACAAATTAGTAATTTTATTTAACAAATTACTATTTTTGACAAAATATGAAGGTGTAAACAGATCTACGGAAGCCAGATCAGATCAGATTAAATATGAATTTGAAGAAACAACTGTCAAAGTTTTCAGCCAATAATGTTATGAAGGTTTTAGTGGGACTTTGAGGGTTTTTCCAAAAGGCACATATTTTGATTATAAAAATTACATACATACATGAAAAAAATTTCACAAGGTATCTTAATCCAAATTTTACCAAGTACTACCCACTCAAGAATATTGTTTATTTTCGTTTTCAGAGAAGGTTATTACAGAGTGTTTATCATTTTTTCTGTGATAATTTATCTACAAATTCATTTTTGTCAATGTTGCCTTTATTGCCCCCAGCGTAAATTGGGGCCAAGGAGGTTCACCAGAGGAGCAGATTCAGGTTTTTGCACTAAGAACGGTGTTTAGTTTAAAATATATTTTATTCATTATACATAAACTGGATTGAACAGTAGGCATAAATGCCTATAATTAGTCTCTCCATTTTTCTAAGTACATACATGCATAAAATTAATGGTACATTTAAAAATTGAAAAACAGTACGTAAAGTAGATCGTCATTTGGTACATGTATAGAATGAATCGAGAGAGAGGGGGAGTAAAATGAAATAAAATAAAAAAGAAGACATATTGAAAAAGAAAACATTATGTTGAACATGTTGATTCAGGGTGGGAAAAATTCCCTCTCAAAATAACATGTCTTAGATAAGACATTTTTTTTCCTAGCATACGAACGGGGATGCAATAACCTGGTAGATGGGAGTCCAGGACGGAGCCCTGGTGGGGGACGGGGGGCACGGAAGGTCAATATTCAATTAGAACTCCTAAGAATAAGGAATTAAGAACCGAAGAATTTGATGCATTGTATCTTTATAACAATAATGTTTGACAGTGAAAACTCTAAGTGCTAAAAGATGTAAAACCAGATTAACGTTTTGGTCAAAAGCTGTAACTAGAGAGCTTATATATTTATTGTTTTCACAAATCCAACTTAATATAATAAGATTTCTGATCTCATCTGGCTTCCGCAGATTTGTATACACCTTCACTTTATCAAAAATAGTTATTTGTTATAACAAATTAATAATTTGTTATAACAAATTAATAATTTGTTATAACAAATTGATAATTTGTTATATCAAATTATTAATTTGTTACAACAAATTGATAATTTGTTATATCAAATTGATAATTTGTTATAACAAATTACTAATCTGTTATAACAAATTACTAATTTGTTATAAAAAATTATTAAATTGTTATAACAAATTGATAATTTGTTATATCAAATTGATAATTTGTTAAAACAAATTACTAATTTGTTTTTACAAATTGATAATTTATTATAACAAATTGATAATACGTAAAACAAATTAATAATTTGTTTAAACAAATTAAAAAAAGATACTGCTGCGGCCCTAATACGCTTCCGTAGTTTTGTACTTATAATAAAGGAAGAGAAATGTACCACTTGGACTTGAAACTTTGCAACAGCAATAAATAGAATAATGATCCTTGATTTAGTCTCTTTTTGTGGTAAGATTGCAACAGTGGAATTCAGCTAGATTACTTTTACACATTACTGACTTTCCCGCTTAACAAAAAGAAATAAGTCTAGCAAGTTTTTCGACCTGTTCTGTATCTGCTTAGAAAACAAAGGGACTTTAATTTGCTCTGGCTGTGTTGAAACAGTTTTCATAAATCACAATATTCAGCAAACATATGAATCAGAGCAGATTCGGACATTAAAACCGTGTCAATGGCATAAAGAAGTCTACCAAGTTCTAACATAACAAATGTAATCTTGCATTTGTAGACTTTGACGTATAAAACCATCTATACTTGATTTCTTGTTGAATAATCTTCCAGGTCATTAATTCAACAATGAAAATACAAAATGCAACAAATTTTCCCCCTTTCTAACATGTACCAGTTACTAGTACTCTTAATTAAAAAAAAATCGTACAAACATTGACCTATCTGTTGCTTTGATTTAATACATACATATTTTCGGTCAATCTATAACATTTTTCATCTTTTCCACTTTTTACAATGTCCATAGGCCATTTCTCAAAAGAATAACAAAAGGTGCTTGAAATCTATGAAGGAAGATAATTTCTTTAATTTTAAGTTCAATGCATATATGCTAAGAAAATCAATCATAAATATATTATCAATTAAATACAACCTTATCCAAAACCTTTTTGGACTCCATTCATTAACTGTACTTCTATTTTCAATTCTAATCCACAGTTGAATTTTTTTTTACAATTTAGTTTACCATGTAAATGTGTACTGAAACATTATGACGAAAGAAATAAAAATAGTTCACTCAGCATCTAGGCCTATTGACTGCATAAATATCATCCAGCTTGTACATTGAAATGAGTAGCCTTTTTGGTCGTTTTTCCCTGTTTATGCGTCATAGGGTTATATCACACCTAGATTTATAAAACTAAAGGAAGAAAATGAACCTAGAGATACTGGAATTTCATCAAAAGTACAAATATTTGAAGTGTTATTTTTACTGTCCACATATTGCTTATCTAATTATCAAGTTATTCATTGGAAACAGGAAATCCGTCTTTGCCGCCTATAAACGGGGATGAACTGTTGCAAATTTGCAGAAAAAAATATATAACCCGCGTCATTAAATTAGATTTATTCATATTCAATAAGTGCATGGTTGGAAAACCGTAAAATATTGTTTTATCGACTCGTACGTTACGTTGATGGAAGAGCCATGAAAGTTGACATTTGACACGTCTTGAAGTTAAAACGCAAACTGCGTTTTTTTTTTCTTTCTTTGCTGTAGAAAAAGAGCAATTTTTTGTCATAATTAATAAAAAAAAATATTCTGTGGATGTAGAGTTGAACCACAAGCACCTGACGTATCGATGGTGTATCACCCCCTCCTCCTCACCTCCAAGCCATGTATGATTTTTATAACTTATCGAAATACATGAATTTCTAGCGTTATCATTCTTAAATTCTGTTTTCCAATTTTGAAAAGTTGTAGAGATTGCCTAGCGTCTAGTATATACTAAGTATTTCATAGTTATTAGGGCAATCTGGAATATTTTTTTTAATTGGAAAATGATAAAATGCAGAATTTAGACGATATGCTAGGAATTCAAGTATTTTTGATGGTGACTAAAAATATCAGAAAGGGGGGGGGGGTACATCATTCATGTGTCAGGTGCCTGTGACACGATATATATGTAAATTTATTTATTTACAACTTGTGTACTTCCTTGTTCGTCGATGGCATGTGTACATGACATCACCATCTTTATATTGAATTTTCACTTGTTTCAACACTCTTTTTCTTGAAGAAATTTTATAATTGAAAAATATAAATAAAATAACCAGACATATATAACAATAAATAAATGTTACTAACGTATATAAAGGCTGTAAAAGTTCAGAATTGCTATCAAGGCACGTGAGTTGTATGATGTGCAGACTTTATTTTTTGTATCATACTTCACAATAATAGCCCTGTATGTAGTAACCAGCTGTAAAATAGCCATCAATATCTCTCTGAAAAACCTGTCAACAAAATATTTTTTTTTCTCTTTTTTTTCAGTACAGACGATGAGTTGGTTGTTTTTATCTCCATTGTACAATGATGTTAAATGATACAGAGATAAAAATGAGGGTCAAGTACTGATCTATATTCAAACCATGGAAATATATCGGTAATAAAAACTTACAGAAATTGTCTGACAGAAAAACGCCAACAGACCAAATATAGTCGACCAAATTCTTGCTGCGTCCATCTTGATGATTTGAGTCCTATTTCTATTTATAAACACAATATTGTCATGTGACAGAGAAGGTCCGTATACAGTACAGTACAAAATTGTTGCGCAGAGATGTCTAAATAAAACGTATCACCGCAAAATCTTGCATACTTTAAACAAGAACAGATTTTCTCAAAAGTGCGTAGTGATCTTCAGCTTCAAAACTCTAGTGATGGCAAAATAGAAGTAAACACTATGTCAAAAACTCATATACCAAGGAGGCACACATGACAGAATTCCTTTATTTACTCAGAAAGGAGATAAAATTAATTTTAACACAGTATCTGCATTTACAGTTCATGGTCCTTAAAAGGAAAACTAAAAATCTATTTGGATCACGAGACTTTATACAAATATAAATTGTTTTAAATAAACTTGAGTTTATATCTTTTATTTATTTATCGAAATAATAAGACAATATGAGTGATCAAATGCACCGGAGAAAATAAGAATACAATTATCTGCTGGTCTAAGATCAATGTTCTGTTTACTGGTATGACGGCGGTTTCTGAAAAGAAAAGAAAATTCCGTGTAAACAATTGTCGGAATAGTAAATACAAACCCAAAAATGTAGGTTATTTGTATGAAAAAGATTTTTTTATACTTGTCAAAGGTATTTGAAGCTATATTTGTAGTATTTGGATCTGTACGTAGTTCGGTGGTCTGAAAAAATTGGGACGTCCATCCTAATATCATTTTTTTTTTCAGAGAACCGAGCTATAGATCTGCAGCTAAGGTATTCGCCAATAATCTGGAAGATACTTTGACCCTCCTTCCTTTTTTTGATCTAATGTAATATTTCTTCTCCTTTTTTATGCCCTCGTACTCGAAGATTCAGGGGCATATAAGTTTCGGTCTGTCTAGCTGTCTGTTTGTCTGCAAAAATGTTAACCTTGGCCACAGCTTTTGAACGGTTGGGCTAGGGCTTTCACATTGCACATTTGTAGGTCTTGTGACAAGACCTTCTTTGGATACCAATATTTTTACCTCTTTATCTTGACCTTGGAGTTTGACTTACTTATGAAAGAAAATACCAGAATTAAACCTTCGCCATAACTTTTGATTGATGCTAAGACTAATGCTTTCATTTCACAGATGTAGTCATTGTGACAAGGCATTCTTTGATTATCAATATTTTCGACCTCTTGACCTTGGGGTTTAACCTGCTTTTGGAAAAACTTTACTAAACTTTAACCTTGGTCATAACTTTTGAACAGTTGATGCTAGGGCTTTCATATTTCACCTGTATAGTCCTTATGACAAGACCTTTCTTTGACTACCAATATTTTCTACCTCATGACCTTGGAGTTTGACCTGCAGTTAAAAAAACTCAACCTTAGCCATGAGATGTCATGCGGGAGTATCAGTATTTAACAAACACATCTTGATTTTTTTTCTTTTTGTCTTGTCAAGCTTTATGTCGCCAAACTGCATGGGAAACATTTATTCGGCAAAGAGCCTGGCCCCACCCCTTCCCCGTTGACTTTCAAGTTTGTTACTACAACTTTGAGCCCAACAAAAACTTGAAAAAAAGAAACTCATGAACACACCACATACACCTATTAAGAATACCAAATTAATTTTAAAAATAAATAATTGCACAAACGAAACAGATAGACTAAGAATCCTGCATTGGAATAAATTCAGTTTTAAATATGTTGATGTCTGAATACCAAAATAGATTTATGTCACATATCAAATATCAAGTAAATGTACATTTGTAAACTTCTATTAAAATGTATTCGATTTCCTTATTTCATGTACTCAAGTTTCTGAATTCACCCTTAATTAAGGGTTTTAGAAATATAGCACAGACAGCATAAGACTATATCAAAGTGATCTTGACCTATGAAAAACGATTATGATACATCTTTAGGACATGGGCAACAATATACTTAATTTGAGTCCATTTCAACAAAGCCTCGGAATTTGTAAAAAATGATCTGGAACAAACAGACAGACAGAAAACCCTGCCAAAATAAATCATCCGTTGGGGGATGTAAAATACATTTAAAAAGTTATGTGAAGAAGAGAAACTCTATATTGGAACAAGTATCAATAGTGTTCTGAAAAAAGAATACAGACCTGATCTAAAGCCATAGTGGATAAATAAGGAGGCGGGGGATCATTTTGATGATACAGAGGGCGTCTAGGTTGTGCGACGGCCCCTCCGTATGCGGGGAAATCAAAACGTGTATATTCCCTCCTGTTTTGTCTTCGTCTTTGCAGTGCTATTATACAAATCAATATCAGGAACAGGGCCACCACGACACCAAACCAGAACCCTGGTATAAGATAATAAAAAGTCCATCAGAAGGAGGGTTTATAACATTTAACAGGTAACTTTTAATCTTTTAGCATCCTTTGGTGACAATACTTACACCATAGGTGGTACAGATTGGAATCACAACATCTTTTTCCTCCATGACAGCACTGTTGATCTGAAATGCAATGTAACTTTTACTAAGATAGCAAACGTTTGTTCATGGTTTGAATGGTTTTAGTTTATAATGGATATATAGAAACATTGTTATCAAGATTATTTAAATTTCAATTTTCATAAAATAATATCTTATAGAAAACTTACCGGGACAAACAATATGTGGTCTGCACTTTGAAGCCTGAAATAGATTAAAGATCACGGTATTTGTAAAAGTTTCTAACTGTATATAAAATTCATTAAATATACAACATCCATATCATCCACCTTTATATAGTTCTCCGCATAGATTTTAGCTCACCAAAGGCAACTGATATGTGTGGTTCTCGTAAATATCATTAACATTGTAAAATGGTTAGTTGTTTAAATCAGTCAGATTGGCAGAGACATAAGATTTTGAGAGGAATCAAACTAGGCCTAAGATACAAACATAGCAAACCTGAAGAGGGTCTCAGCCAGCCACACATACATAAATAGCTAGCCTGGAGAAGAGTCTCAACCAGCCACACATACATAAATAGCTAGCCTGGAGAAGAGTCTCAACCAGCCACACATACATAAATAGCTAGCCTGGAGAAGAGTCTCAGCCAGCCACACATACATAAATAGCTAGCCTGGAGAAGAGTCTCAACCAGCTACACATACATAAATAGCTAGCCTGGACAAGGGTCTCAGCCACTAACACATACATAAATATCTATAGACTTGAGAGGGGTCTTAGCAAGCTACACATATACATAAATAGCTAGGCTGGAGAGAGATCCCAGCCAGCTACACATACATAAATAGCTAGCCTGGAGAGGGATATTAGCCGGTAACACAGACATAAATAGCTAGCCTGGAGAGGGATATTAACCAGTAACACAGACATAAATAGCTAGCCTGGAGAGGGATATTAGCCGGTAACACAGACATAAATAGATAGCCATGTGATGAATCAAACTAGGTCGGAGCCAGTCACACATACATAAATAGCTAATCATATCAAATAAGAAAGACTAAGTTCAAAATTAAGCTCTGAACTTTTAATCATTTTAAGACATTAAAACAATGAAAGGAAACAACGTAAATCTGATTTACAATTTGAAAAATATATCTAAGTTTAACAGAGAGCTCCTTGTCAAACGAATTCATGTGATTTGACAATGAAAAGAGAAAAAAATACATATTAACGGTCATTTCTCTAAACCTCTGTTTCATTGTCACATGTGTAAACATACTCATTTAAGAAAATCATTTTCTTACTGTAAATCACTTAACTTTGTGGAATCAAATTATCATAATTTAAGGAAAAAATATTGGCTTGTGGGGATTTAATTCTGTGGTTGAGGAAGTGTTGTGTTGTTCAATATTTCAAATTTAACATTTCGTGGAGGACATGAATTAGAAGGTCTCTTCATACCACGAAATAACGACGAGTAACCCCTATGAAAATTAATAATTTCACAGTGTTTGCAAAATATACTACAATCAAACTCGGTTATAACGAAGTCACTGGGACCTGTGAAATTACTTCGCTATATCCGTAATTCGTTATATCCGTATAAGAATTTCGTTAAGTTTATATAGCTGGGGATCTAAGAAAAATTCGCTATATCCGTGAATGTGCTTTATCCGTGTTCGTACTAAACGAGTTTTACTGTAGTTTGGAATAGGTGCAAAACTGTTTATCAATAAGCAAAATTAAGCAAATATTTTGTTCCTGTGTTCTATTCTCTTCATATGAACGCTGCCCCTTCCATTGTGATTTGTGGGGCCGCCTAAAAAATGAATACGAGTATATTTTTGTGTATTCTGAAATTTTCCAACCATCATTCGACCATGTACGTTTTTGAAGGACTTCTTTTTGAAACCATTCAAATAATCTCTGTTTTTTCTCGACATCTCGTTCATGGGAACAATCAACTGTTATCCGAATACATGTAGTTACAATAGTTAAAACACACGTATACATTTTCTCCGTGAGGAAACAAGCCTCTCTGAAGTCTTTTTTTTTTCAAATGAACATTTGGAATATGATGATATACTCAGAGTGTACTATTTCCCACGTGAACACATGACAAATTTACTTTTGCACACAGATGCAAATTTGCTCATGAGTATATCTACACATGAGTAAATTAAACAGTGTAGTGAAAAATAATTAAAAGTTCTCTATTATATACTAAATAAATTTCCTATGGTACACATTTTTACATCTGTAGTTAAATAATTCATAATATAAATGCTACCTGTACAACAGATTTATCCTTTCCTCGTCCTTTACCATACTTAGTTTGGGAGATCGTTGTTCATAGATGAAATTATATCATATATCAGAAGTTTATGATACAGTTCAAAATTATTAATGACGATTTTTATTGGTGTTATAATCATTATATAATGAGAAAACAAATTGCAAACTTAATTACAGATCCCAAGTGAAATTAAATTATTGGTACTAGAATCTAAATCCAAACCGTGTCTACGATGTCGCTATAAAAAGTGTTCCTGTTGTACCTTGATTTATCTGCCCATTTGATGAGCTCTAATTTTTCCGTGTTAGCCGATATAGATTAGAGTTTTATTAGTCACCCCTAACGGTGAAATCGGAGGGGGATATAGATTTCCTCCGCGTCTCTCTGTCCGACATTCTGGAGAACCTATTTAAGATAATTCATTAAAGTTCACTCAGCAAGCTAATGCACGACTTGGACTGTCGCATTGAAGCCTATGTACTAGTAGACTCACAAAGTATCAAAAGAATGCTCGCAAATTCCGATTTTCGCGATTTAGAGTCTACAAGTCATTTCGAGATATAAAGTACTCACATAAAATAAGGAATCTACAGAATATAGTAGCCTATTTTTACCAAAATATTCCAATAAATTCCCAATGTTCTTAAACTGTCGGAAAATTTAATGAATGGCATGACCTACTATTGATATAAATTGTGTCTTAGTGTAGATTTTTATTATCTAGTAGCAGTAAACACATTTACAATATTAGTCGTTTTACTGTAAATTTTATATAACCTAATAAACTAAAAATTTACAGTATGAAGCTATGTTGGTTTGCATAATCCGCAAGAATTCTTTATAGCATGTTTTGTAGAAAATCTATGACATTTAAGAAAAAACAAACACATTTTTTTTGTAAAAGCTCACAAGATAATAATTTAAAAACAAGGAAAATATGAAAAATGTAATATTACTAATGTAAAACTAGCAAGAAAATGTTATGAAAACCAAAAAAAAAAAAAATTACGATTACGGTACTTTCAACACTGAAAGCTAAACCTCTTAATATCGGTATATATATTGTGTATAACTTAAGTATGTTTCTCTAGTGGTATATTTTAATCATTATTCAATCAAGCTTTTACATATGTTTCATTTTCAAGACGATGACTTTTCAATGGTCACCAATAAAAAGTCATACATAATCATTTGCCTTGTTTGAGCTAAGGTTATAATGCATAAAGTAAAATATCCTATCCTATACCTCTGTTTAAATAAAATAAGAAAGTGAAGACGACGAAGAGTGATCGATCTCAAGAAACCTACAAACAATACAGATCTGTGAACAGGGCATAAACCTACAAACAATACAGATCTGTGAACAGGGCATAAACCTACAAACAATACAAATCTGTGAACAGGGCATAAACCTACAAACAATACAAATCTGTGAACAGGGCATAAACCTACAAACAATACAAATCTGTGAATAGAGCATAAAACAAGTATCAGGTGCCAAGGAGGAGTGAGCATTCACTGTTGACCAATCACATCTGCCGTGAGGCCTATGTTTTGATCAGGTATACTCCGTAGTGAAATTAGTTATTTAAAAAAGACCTAACAATTGGTATGAAACACGTCAGCCAAAATAAGACCTAATGATAGGTTATACTTGCTATTTACGTCATTATAAGGACCATACAATTTACGAAATACTGACTTTAAACGAGATTGTTTAAATCCCTGTAACATCAACTTTTCTTTCAGTCGCCTGCCTCGGTTTAAAAATTGATCGTACTTAGGGCATGCTCTTGAGTATCGAATAAGTTGAAGTCATCTCATCAGTCATATAATTTAGTTGTTAGTTGGCCCTTATTGTCGATAGCCAGTAAAACATCCAAATATGAAACATGTGACAGATTCTGTGGTACCTGTTACTTCAAGTTCAATGGGATATATTGAGTTGACATATGGATGGAAGTAACTATTGTAAATTGATAAAACGTCGTCAATATATCTGAATGTTGAAGGCGGCAGTAGACTGAGCGATAGGGTACTTATTAAATGTATACTGTAACTGCAATGCATATGTATAAATGTGTCCATCATTTGGAGTAGAAAGTAGCTTAGTAACATTTTTATTCAAGCTAGCTTTACAAAAATATCTATATCTGTCATATTTTTTAATTATATATGCTAAAAAAAGATAACCTACCTGTACTAGCTTTATTTGGTAATGCAAATCAAATAGAAATAAAATATACAGACATAAGAAATGCTCCATTTTTGGTATATTTAACAACAATCATAATTTATATAGGCGAGTACAATGTATCCTGTCACATGCATACATAAGAAAGACCCTTTTTATAAGTCAGTTTAGAGCAACTGCATTCAACATGAACAAAGGCCGTGTGTATCTGATATGATTATTAAAGTAACATACATACTAATTTGAAAGCGATTCAAAACAGTGGCTAGTTTAAAGCACCCAAACCTTTTAACTTTGGAAGGAAAAACAGACTAAATCCATGAGAAATTAATTCTTTTAAAATAATACTTAAATGTGCATGTCTTGGTCTTATACATCTTTTTAGCAAAAGCGTTCAACTTTTTCCCCAAGTAAAGAAAATGTGCCTTTCGATGCTTTAACATTTTATATAAGAATCCTTAGATGACAGCTGTGTTCACAAAATATTGGCGTGATTATATAAGACCATTGTTTCGACCGTGTGTATGATTTATCAAACTTCCTCTCGACTTCAATAATTATTGCTGATGATGTCTGATTGTGTGCTGTAAGGATTCTAGATTTCTCTATAAATATTCCTGTAATAATACATTCTTTTACACGTTATGATGCCATAAAGCCCAGCTCCAAACATCAAGCATCCAGCTAATATTATCGCCCAAAACCCTGGAAATAAAAAAAAAATGATGGTGTTTCTATCAAAAGGCCCAAGGGCCAAGACGGTCACCTAAGTATAATGTAACACTATAAAGGATCCAATAATTGAATATGAAATAAAACAATATACGATGATAAATGAAGCTGTGTTGCCCAAAAAACAAGAGAAAAAGGATGAACAGAGATGAGCAAAATAATAAACTTAGTGCTCAGTGGTTGATCTATTTACTGCACTTGCCCCCATTTGTCACTATCCCTATGTGGGATAAAAAAAACAATCGTTCTTGAGCAATATTAGTAGACCCATCACATTCCCTCTCACATTGGCCTCTCTTAGTCTTTGAATATATTTCATGTACAAAGAGAAGGTAGTTTTGTCCCATTTTAGTCATCTATTATTTAAAAGTCTACCTGACCATTGAAAACTATGAAAGAACTTTTTTATATTAAATATTATAAAAAAAAATTGTATACTTATGTTATTCAATTGCCTTAAATTACACTATTAAGAGTGATTAATTATCATATGTGAATAGCAAAAGGGAATAACTTCTCTCAGTAGAATACAGATTAATAAATAGACCAAATGATGCAGAATTTAGAAAAAATAGATTTGCTTAATACAACTTTATATTCTAGTACTCTGCTTGCCTCCTAGATGTCCTGGAGCAGAGAAAAAGATTTGCTAAGAAATAATGCATTTTCACTACAGATTCAACATAGCCCCACCCCAACACCAGAGCACTTGACCCGGTAGCCAAGAATTTCTCAATTTTTGATGAAGCACCCTTGCTCGATCATCATATAGTATGTTTGCTAAATACCAATGGGCATAGGAGAATCATTTACAAAGAAATAACGCATTTTTGATATATGCTCAAAAGAGCCCCACTCTAACACAAAAATCCCTGACCCAGGTGTCATGAATTTCAAACTTTTTGAAAAGCATCCTTGGTCATCATGACCATGCGATTAGTTTGTCTGTTGAATACCCAGGACCAGAGCAGAAATTTTTCCAAGAAATAATGCATTTTCAATGTATAGTCATTTTCACTATATATTCAACAAACCCCACCTCCTAAAACCCTGACCTTGGGGTCACAAATTTCACAATTTTGCAAGAGGCATCCTTGCTTAACATAACCATTCACTTAGTTTATCTGCTGAATACTCAAAAACAGAGAAGATTTTCAAAGCATTAATACACTTTCACTATATAATCAATAGAGCCCAGACCTGACACTAGAACATCTGACTCAGGGGCTATGAAATTCATAATTTTCAAAAGGCACCCTTCCTCACCATACCCATGCACTTGGTTTGTTTGTTTAAATCTCAGTAGCAGAGAAGATTTCAAAGAAATAACGCACTTTCACTTTAAAATCATTAACCCCCTCCCCTCGAACCTCTGACCCCGGGGTCACAAATTTCACAATTTTGGAAGAAGCACTCCTGATCATCATAACAGTACACATTGTTAATCTGCTTAATACACAGAAGCAGAAAAGAGCATTTTCAAAGAATTGATACATTTTCACTATATAATCCATAGACCCCACCCTAACACCGAAGCCTCTTACCCAGAGGCCATCAAATTCATAATTTTTGAAGAGGCATCCTCGCTCAATGTAACTATGTGCTTCATTTATCTGAAAAATACCCAGGGGCAGAGAATGTTTTCGTAGAAATAATGGACTTTCACTATATAATCAATAGAGCCCTTTCCCGCAGAACCCGTGACCCTGGGGCCACAAATTTTAAAATTTTGGCAGAAGCACTTGTTCATCATAACCAGTAGCAGAGAAGAGGATTTTCAAAGAATTAATACATTTTCACTTTACAATCAATAGAACCCATCCTAACAACAGAACCCCTGACCCTGGGGCCCAGAAATTCACAAGTTTTGAAGAGACACCCTTATACAATATACTTGGTTTATTTGCTTACTACACAGGATAAGGAAAAAAAGAAGATTTTTAAAGAAATAATGCACTTTTACTATATAATCAATAGACCCCCTCCCGCAGAACTCCTTCACCCTGGGGGCACAAATTTCACAATTTTGGAGAGGCACATTTGATTATCATTACCATGCACTTTACTTATCTGCTTTGTATACAATGGAAAGAAGATTTTTCAAAGAATTAATGAATTTCACTATATGATCATTAAAGCCCCACCCTAACTCCAGAACCCCTGACCCAGGGATTATATTTCACTATTTTGATAGAGGACTCAATGCTTAATATAATCATACCAACATTTTGATTGCTTGATGTCCAGGAGTAAATAAGAATATTTAAAAGATAATACTAATTTTGATGTTTTATCACCACCCTAAGGCCCTAGTTTGGCAGGGACTATGAAATTCATAATTTTTGTTCCTCTTTACTCATAGATGTTCTATGCCAAAATTGGTTGAAATTGGCTCAGTGGTTCCAGAAAAGAAGCTGAAAATGTTCAAATGTTAACGCACGATTGACGAAACACGACGAAAACAGATTGCAATGGGTCACCTGAGTGAGTCAAGTGACTTAATAAGTGACTGCCAAGACTGAAAAATAGATGCATGAATATGAAATTATCAAAGTCTTTTCAAATTTTGTTTGAAATAAGATTTCCACAATGATAAACATGTGTTTATACTTACACCACTGTTCATACGTACGATATGTAGAATAATGCTTACAGCATTCTGTTCCTCTATTACAGCAGTGAGAATCTAAAAAATTAAAATGTTCTTTCTCTGAACAAACGGCGGAAATATTAAGAACTCTAAAAAGATAACAATACAATTTTTTTAATTAAAAAATTTTATTCTACCCTTCACACATATACGTATTGGTTTGTAAACGAAATGCGAAGATAAGAACCAGCACCCATGCTCAAAAGTAGAACTAAGCATTACAAACTCAGAGCAGAACAAGCAAGAGTCCCTGAGTCGGAACTGGGATTAGGTGCCATGGAGGAGTAAGCATTTCTTTTCGACCGGTCACACTTGCTTGAGCTCCTTGTCATGATCGGGCCTACGGAGAAAACGCAGATAATTCAATATGAAAATATTGATCTAACAATTTGTACGAAAAACGTCATACAATATTCCACATAACGACAGATTGTATTTGTAAACACGGTTATTGTATCAATCATAGAATTTGTGAAACGTTGACTTTAAACAAGATTGTTGATACACTTGTACCATTAAGTTATTTGTCAATAGCCTGCCCTGGTTCGTATGTAGAACATGCGCTTGCGTATCAATTGAACTGCATGGGTGACATATACCCCATATGCAGATGATAATGGTATTGAATATATTGTTTCAAACACAAGGGAAGTTGAGGATTGAAAATATGAAGTCATCACGATTATCATAAAGTTTAATTGTTTTGCCATCAATGTCTTTCTCAAGTAAAATATCCAAATATAAAACAGGTGTTGAGAGTGTACTAGTACTTCAAATTCAATGGGATATTTCAAATCAATTTATAAATTTACTTAATACTTAAGGCCCCAACAAGAGACTTCTTCTCATGTAGAAGCTACTCAATAAATTCCGCTTCATGAGAAAAAAAAAACAGGTCTGCTAGTAAAGGGGAACAATTATTACATTTGGGAATTTCAACAGAAATGTTGGAAGACTTGGTCCCGCTAGATCCCGCTATGTTTCTTTAGTGGTTTGTGAGGATTTTAAACATATTCTGGAATCTGAATAGATATGGTAATTCTAAATAAATTTGGTTGTTGGGAATATTAAGAATATTTAAAACTGACATATGATTTTGAAGAATCTTTTCTTTAGAAAAGGTATATGAGTTTAAGTTCCTCTTTAATGCAGTTGTGATAATGAGCCTTACAAAGACTCTGTTGTTACCTACTTCTTCAGCTGGAGCCAGTAAATATTGATCATGTTATCTATCTAATTCTTTAGTTACTTATGAATTACTGAATATAGATATATGGTTTTCATATTGCCTCTTTCATACAAAGTTTTAAGGATATCCGATCCTCACCTAGGAAGGATAACTCTTAAATTTATTATTTTATCAAAAAAAAAGTCTCAAAAATGAAGCTTGAAATTGGAATTTTTTTGTGCAACAATTTTCATTTTATGCTTCTCAATAGGTTCTTTGGAGTCTTAGAAAGTGTCTTATAAAAAGTTGACTTTTGTACCCCATAAATGACAAAAATAAATTCATTTTTATTGAAATTGAATTTCCTTTAATCTAGCATTAGATACCAATGCTTATTTGCATGATATGAAATTACACATGATATGTGATGTCTAGCAATGATAGCACAAGCTTTTTACACTATGTATTATATAACAATTGACGTAAATAGAGGAACTAAAATACTATATATGCATAAAAAAATGAAATTTTCTCAGATGTCTGGATACCTATATTTTTTTAATCTAAAATATATTTGTTGATCAATTTCAATTAGAAAGTGCATTGCTGGTGTTTTTATTCGCATTTCCTGAAAACATATTTGAGATTTAATAATTCCCCTATATAATATGATTAACTATAATGATGAACTTTGAAGAAATACCATGGGTAAGTTCATGTTACTCTATGAAATCAGACATTTTTGTGAGCATTTTCAATTATTTTCATAACCTGAACAGAACTACCTTAAATCCATTTTATCCATTCTGACAAAGTGTGAAGGTCTTCTTTATATTTGACCTATCATCTGGCATAATCTTCGGCAGTATTCATAGTGTTATGAAATTTTGTCGCCAAGTGAAAGATTAGGGCTCTCTAAATTTTTTATTATTTTTTTTTAAATCATTAATTTAAGATCCTCATTATTATTAATTACCGTATTTTTACGTCACCAGTAGGACTATAGTTGAAGGGTGAAGAAGAACATGAACACGTAGGAGGATTATGTAACAGATGTTCGATATCTGGGTGTAGATCTTAATCCTGTTTATATTCCATATTTACCTTTATTAATAACTGCTTCTTTTGCCATGTCACACATTTGATCATATTAGCAATGACTCCTATGTTTTGAAAGGTGTAAATTTATAGAATAATGAAACTAGAGATTTAAAATGGATACCTTGGTATGGAGATTAGTACAGTAATCAAACTAAGCTAGCCATGTACATGTGTATAGTAAGTAATTCTTTATTAAAGCGGCTTTTACTATTCACATAATGGAAAAGTAACCCCCCCCCCCCTAAAATTCAAAAGTTCTTATGAAGCAGAATTTATTCAAAAATATTAAGATGAAAAGATAACTGTTGCTGTGGCCTTCAATTCATCATTTACATATATCTTTCTTTTTGATTAAATTTACAATAGATATGTCATTCATTTGTCGACTGATATATCAGTGAACCCGAAATGAAATACACCACAAAGCTTACCACATTTTGGAAGTATTAATGATAATAAATGTTTATTGCCAACTTACAACTAAACTGATCGACAAACTGGTTGACTTTAGGTTTTTCATCGTCAACTTTCCCTTTTTATCTGGTAATATTCTAATTTCACTTGCAGATGCGTTTATGTCTTCGAATTAAAGGTTAGCAAGAGCAATTTATAAACCGAGGCAGTCTACTGATAAATAACTTAGTGTTACAAATACAGGACTTTCAGCAATCAGGTTTAAATTTCACAAGTTAAATTCTATGGTCGTTGTCCGTTGGGTCGTATTTTGACTGACACGATTCATTTTGATCAAACCTCTGGTTTCTGAGATTGATAACTATATTCGTTTTCTTCATCTTTCTCATTACGTATTTATAAATATACACTAAAATCGAAAATGTGTCATGATAAATTTTTAAAAATATTTACTTGTATATATTCAAACACGATAAAAAAAATAGATAAACTCATATGGAACGCCACAGCTGCCTGAAGGTCATTTTCATTTTATATCAGGTGGTATAACCTTTATGTGAAGTCATTATATATAGTGGTAAAATCATTATATTCAATGAAAACTTTATTATATGCAGTGGTTTTATCTTTATATACAGTGATAAAATCATTATATACAGTGATAAAATCATTATATTCATTGATAACTTTATTATATGCAGTGGTTTTATCATTATATTCAGTGGCAATGTCCTTATATATAGTGGTTAAATAATGTAATGAAGTGATAATATCGATATATTATGTTGTAAAATCATTATATGCAGTGGTTTTTCCATTTTATACATTACTGAAATCTTTCTGTGATGTGATAAATTCAATATATACAGTACAAACATAATTTGTGTGATAAAGCAATCATTACATTGTATGAAACCCGCTGCATGTGAAGTGCCAAGTTAATTTCATTCAGTGCGACACCTTTACATGAAGTGAAAAATCGATTATGTGCAGTACTAACATCATTATATTATATAGTAAAATTATTGTATATATTCCTAAAATCATACTTTGCAGTGGTAACATCTTTATATGAGGTGGTTAATTTGTTATATGATGTTGTTAATTTGTTATATGATGTGGTCAATTCTTTATATGCATTAGTCGTTTCATGTAATGCAGTGGTAACTTCTTTATCATCATCTAAACTGGTCCTCTTGCAAAAACATTTTTTTTAAAATGCGCGGAGTTCCAGTTTAAAGAGTGTTTGAAAATAGGAAACCCGGGCCGTGGCAAATTAAAAGCCGGGACTATTCGAGATTTTTCTAATTTCTGATTTAAAATTTTCAGACTCTTTTTTTAGGCTAATGTGTTTTCGCTGTAAAAATTGTATTTAAATTCTTGGTATTTTAGATTTTCTTGACGATTTTTGGTTTCAATTAAAATTGGTAGGCAGTTTCAATTTTCTGATTTAATATTTTATCTATTGTGCTATAAGTACTTAGTATTTTAGTTTTTTTTTTTTTTTTTTTTTTTTTTTTTTTTTTTTTTTTTTGGCGATTGTTGATTTCCATGTTGGTAAAATGGGTAGACTGGGTTGGCGATATTTTATGTGTGTGTGTTTTTTTTTGACATATTTGATAAAAATCTAATAAACTTAAAAATTATTCCGATGTTAAACACTGTATTTTAACTAAAAAAAATATTTCTTTTTGATAGTTATTTCTTTATTTGAAAATGCTATTTTTATGCAAAATACACATTTTCATTAAAAAAAAGGATTATTAAACCAGATCCGATCATCCGGGAAGAACCTGGTGCAAAACACCATAAATCATTTCTAATTTCATAATATGCAAATGTGCACTGGTGTACATGTATCTATATGCTAGTAGATGGAAGGAAACTGGATTACGTTAAATTTGTAATTTGTTTAATACTTTTTTCTGGGGGGAGATGTAAATTACTAATATCAACTATTTATAAGACTGTTTCTAAGACTTCAGAAAACCTTAAATCACATTGAAATGCTTAAAATAAAAATTGCCGCATGAAAACATTTCATTTTCAAGTTTCATCTTTGCCGTCGCCAACGTGGCACGGTGATTAGAGTGTCTGCTCTAAGAGACGAGGAATAAGGAGTCAATCCTTACGTCACGGGTTCGAATCCGACAGTGGGACGTTGAGACCGATCCTTCGTAAGAGACCGCATAAAGCCATAAACCGAGGTCCCGTGCCACAGTAGGTGTTGGCACGAAAAAAATCCCTCACTGCTCAATGGCCGTAAGTGCCGAGTATAGGACAGAATTTGCAGCTCTCCACTGGCAAATTGTGGCATCTCCATATGAGTGAAAAATTCTCGAGAGGGACGTTA